CTAAAGAAAGACTTGTAATAAGCAGATTTTGCTCTTGCATAATGCATGTTTAACCATGGTTACGGCGCTGATTAGTTCCAATCTCGGAATGGTGATCGCTTTCAGCGGTACCACTCGACTTTTCCCCACCACGAGTGCTATATCAATATTATAGAGTATGTCCTTCTGTCTGGGGTAAACAGCTCCACAATATCCTAAGGTACTAGCATGGAGAATAAATGGAGCTCGCTTGATCTAATGTCTTCAAAGTGAGATAGTTTAAAACATCTTGGTACTTACAATTCTTCTAAGGCTTGAAGTCCACTTTGCCAATGTTGCCAGGTCTCTGACAGATCCGCAGGAAGGGGGTCGTCCCATGAGAGTCGTAATAGAACAACTTGAGTTACATGCATTACTGCGACGTCCATGATAGCAGATCGTGTTCAAAGGTATAACATCCGACTAGGCACAAAAACAAATCTAGACCAACGTCATCAATGGTAGCTGGCAAACGAAATATGTCACTTGCCGTGTGTCAAACAAACCACATGATGTAAACAATCAGCCGTATGCCTGAATTTACGCGGTATATAGATGTGCATTAAACATAATTTCATGTTTATGATATGCTTATTAATTGTCCCTTATGATCAGTATGGTCAGATTTTCGGCCAAACGACGATGTGTGAACATGTTGAACCAATTACATCACTTCCGGTTTTGATAAAAAAAATTCATTTCATTTTATTCCATTCCTTTGCAATCTCAAACAATTCCAGCATTTCTGGAAATGAAATAGTCTTTTATGTGCAGCTCGTTAGCACCAATCAGGCTACATTGTGCTACTAAATACAATTAAAACCAGACGTCGCATTATTTTAGGACTAAATAACTTTATTCTCATCTCTAAAATATTAAATCTGGCTAATTTAGAGTGCACATTTCTGCCCCCAAATCACTTGTCTGTTCCAAACCCGGTAAATGACTGACTACATGGTAGTTAGAAGATAATTAAGCAAGCAACCTGCGGGTTTCACTAAAACTGTTGATATAACTGTTTTGTTTACATACATCACTTTCCATCAATCAATTTACCCTGATTAGGATTATATCACTTGACTGAATAATGTCAATACCAGAATTTCAACTTTTGTGCATTTTTCATTGCACCATGTGACCATAAGTAATAGTAATAGGATACTGAAGGTGGGTCGATCGTATTGGATTTAGGGTATTTCTGTAGATGGACAGAAATCTGGATACGTGTCGCTTTGATGTTGAAGAATTTTTGATAGATGTAGGTTGATATGATGCTGACGAAGTGTGTTTATATGTAAACCGTTTTCTTCTGTGTAGTAACATTGAAAATTCTTTAAAAGATAAAGCCGATCATTACAAATTCAACCTTTTAGTGTTTGTGAGTTGGGTTGCCCGCATTATTGTTAGCAAGGTTTTCATTTTGCCTGAAGGCTCTATCACTGCAGACCGTGGACTGTACATCGAAGTGGACGCTTAGGGTCGACCCCCGAATCAAGTGTGATTGGGTCAACAAGAGCAATAACTTAAATAGTTGCAAAGACACGGGACTGAAAATAATGTGTGACTAGAGAAAGCAAAATCTCGAAAATCGCACAACGACAGCTCAATTCCCATGTGTGTTCATGTTCGTAAATTATTGCATACAGTTGGTGGTCATTTTTGTTAGTGTTACAAGTAGGTATAAAATATATTTTATCACTAACCCAAACAAAGCCAATAATATAATTTCCGAATAGATCAAATAAAAAGAATTGCGGCTACACCATTCAAAATATTATTTTAAAGGTGACCATGTTCCTAACTCTGGTGTTTGGGACACGCATGTTAAATATGCGCCAACTCGGTTATAATAGGAACTAACTGGATTGAAATGGTAGCTAACTGGTTACAATATGAGCTAATTGGTTATAATATGGGCTAACTGGTTATTAATAGTAGTTAACTGGTTATAAAATGAGCTAAGTGGTTATAATAGGGCTAACTGAAATAGTAGCAAACTGGTTAAAAATAGAAGCTAACTGGTTAGAAACGTTGTACATTCCTATCATCAACGTTCATCCTCGCCTTGTTTCTATCTTATGAGCTAATAGGGGGCCCATGTTGTCAATGTAACATTTAACATCACAAATATTTGCATTAAAATATTTTTATTAACAAGATGTAAAAATATGCTACATTGTAAACATCGGACTGCATTACATTAGTGATGGGAACGAAGAAATGATGTTGTCCCAGTCTAAATGATACTGCAAAACAAACTGTGACAATATAAAATACATATAATTCACGATTCACAAATAACAATTATGATATTTTGATAACTTTCAATTTTAAAAATGACTTGATTTATCACTCGAAGAAAAGGGAAGGATGGGGTTTAACGTTCGGGGTTAAATATCTCGTCAAAATGTTTTAAAATACTAACATGAGGGCACAACAAAGAAAATATTACGATTATCATGTGGGAGAACCTGTACTTCTTCTAATTATACAAATGTAAAAGGATCTTTTACGTGCACTGCCAATTTGTATACACCTCGGTTTTTCGTCCCGTCCGACAGACTAGACACATTTCCTTGTCAGTTTTTGCATCCATTATTCAGGTAAATTAGTACCTGCACAATATTAATTAGTATACTAGCCATAAAGGAGAGTCACGGCAGTTAAATCGCCCGTGTGGTTATCGCAAATTTATGCTTTTTTGGGTAATGGGCGGCATTTACAAGATAATTTGGTACAGATCCGATTATCATTTCGTTGTTTGAGGGTTAACAAAGATCTACAAATTCAAACAAGGGTCTTGACTCTGGAAGTAATTTACAAAAATTGCTGAAATTAGACAGACTTTTTCGTTTTACCAATTTAAATAATGCATTTACATTTCATACAGATTGGATAATAACTTTTCTCGTTAGAGCGTTCCCAAGGTTCAAGAAAGGCAAACAAAGGCCATAACTCTAGTAGACGCAATTAAAGCAAATTGCTGCAATTGAATAGGCTTCTTCGTTTCACTAATTTAAATTGGGTATATGAATTTCATACAGATCGGATGATAACCTTTGTCGTTAAAGCGTTCACAAGGTTCAACAAAGTGAAAGAAGGGCCATAACTCCAGAAGGAATTAATGGAAATTATTGAAATTAAATAGAATTCTTCATCTCAGTAATGTAAACAACATATATCAATTTCAAAACAGTCAGACGATAAATATAGTCTGTAGAGTGTTCACAAGAAATTGTGGACGACGAATGGACCGAAGGAGGCGATGGATCGACAGGAGCGACAGCAATATACGACCACGTTTCTATGTGGGCATATAAAATTGTTTTTAAAAAGACTTATTTATCAAGTAAAATTAATGCTGTTATGATTCAAAAGAACTGAATAAATATATCAAATTCTATATAATGCTCTATTAATTATGGATAATGAATAAACTGGAAATAATTATGACTAAAGTGGGAATGTTAATAATTAGTGTAATAATGTATTAGTTATTATTGTCACGTACGATAATTAGTTACGAAAATAACAGTGACCAAATATTAAATAATATATACATACATTAGCACCAATAATAATTTAATAAGAAATAGATATTTAAATAATTAGTGAAAGAACTGAGTACCGCAATGTCTATAATAATGTAACAATATGTAATGATTATTAGCTGTTATATATAATGGTGCTATAATTGGTGTTCATTGTTTATCGAAAATAATGTACCAAGTACTGTATTGAATAATATATATATCGACAGATATATTATGTTTCGGCTCTTATTATAGTGGTGAAAAATAGCTAACTTTATATAACAAAGCCACTGCACTAATTATACAAAAGCTAACTTAATATAACAAAGCAACTTCATTGATTATAGTAATGCAATCACTAACTTTATTACATATGAACATTATTTTCATATTGAGTAAGTAAAATTATCACTGTATACATACTAAATAAATAACAAACGTTTGAGCTCTGAATAAACTTTGAATACATGTAACGTAAACTTTGAACATTCCAACCTAAAATATATTTCTATTATAACTAAACAGTTCGTGTAAATTAGTATAAGAATTCAGTGCATCACAAAGGTCTTCAAACGCTTTCAGATAACCTCAAGACGGTGGTGTTAAATCAATCGAAAACAATGTAAACTTTAAATGGCCATAACTTCTGTTTGGATTATAATGAATAATTTTTGGGCCAAAATGTTCAAATGGAGTTTAACTAACTGTGCTGTGAGGGAAATGTTACCAGGACAGCGATGCTACGGCCTAGTCCAAATTCAGGGGTTATTTTACGTGCACACCAATGTGTGCTTTTGATGGGAGTACTTAAATTAAATTGTTTCTGTTTATTCTGAAAATAGTTAATTTAGACATATCTGTTTTGAGTAAGAATGCAATTACAAGTTATAAGAAATAGCATTAGACAATACACATCAACTATTATAGTGAACTGTGATTGTCCAAAACTGGATGATAAAATTGTAATTTCAAGACAAATATCACAAAAATGATCAACAACTCGCAAAACAAAACAATAATAAAAAAATTTTTTAAAACACGGCGGGTGGTTTATTTACACTAAAACACAAACATGTGGTCTGTGCATAAGTTTATCAACGTCATTTGGAGAGACTGGTTTTCAGTGCATAGCAAAACGGGGATGTTCTACGGAACATTTGCAAAGACTCTATTAATAAAGTAAAACGGGGTATTAATATTTACCACCGTTTTGTAATAACGTATTATGGGGATTATTAAAACTTGGCACTGTGCCATAATAACTAATAAACTGCTTGTTCTTTGTAACGGTCAAAGATTCTGATAAGACTCTCAATTCCTGTTAAACCATAGAAATGGAACTTTGAACATTCTAAATGTACATATTTTTTATGATTTCCATTTCTTTGGTTGTTTAACAATCGTAGATATATATATATATATATATATATATATATATATATATATATATATATATATATATATATATGACCCCAGCGCCTTCATTATTGTACATTGTGAATTATACATGTAACTTTAGATATCTGATATGGGAATTTAATTTGTACAGCATTTGACCCGGTATTACTGATTGTTTGACTGATTGTTTACTGTACTTTCATTTGTTGGATTCGCTCGGGGCTCTTTAATTCCAAATTCTGAAATAAGAAACAAAAGTAGTTGCATCTGTTACAAAGTCCTATGTCTAAATATGTTAAAATAAAATCTTAAATTAAAACACGTGGAATCTGTGAACAGTCCTATCTTGTTAAAGAAAAATCCTATTGATCCTATAATTCATTATAGTCAATTTAAAATTTGGCAAATACATGTACGCCATTTTCATGTTGAAACTAAAACGTTGCTGGTTTTGAAAGTTCCTTTGGGCTATAGAAAACAAAATGTGTGTGTGTGTGGAGGGGGGAATTTTGCCTTGATAATCAAGACAACTTTCCACTCCCATTAGTTCTAGAAAGAAAAATGTAATTATGTTTGTGTATTTACCTTTTTCTTTTAAACCTTTGCCGTAATTTTTGTAAACTAAATATAATAAAACCATCAATATACTTCTAGTTACTAGAGCTAAAACACCAGCCGCTATTGTTGCCGCTACTAAGTGACGTTGTCCTGTATCTTCTTCCTGTTTTGACTAAAATTAAATGATTTTGGGGTTAAAGATATACAATGAGAGCACGCTGTGGTAGGGCAATTTTGAGATAAGGGCATAGCATTAGACCAGTAATGAAATCTACATCGCAAAATTTTCAATAAGTATGAGATAAACTAAAATATTGTAGTGCCTTACCCCTCTCCCGCGTTATCTTCCTCACTCCCCCCCCACCATCCCCTACATAAAAAATTAAAAATAGTTTCGTAATATCTGAGCAAATGGATATAAAATGTACCCAACCTTAATGTTTACTCATTTCTGATACTATATGATTATCAAACGACTTTTAGCTTAAGATTTGGCAGACTGCTGGATCAGTGGATATATATCCTACTAGAGTACCAGTTAATAGGAAACCTTTTACAGGAGCAAGCAGGAAAAGTGGAAAATTACCTTACATGAAGTCATCATTTTTATGAATGACAATATGACTACAGCCTAAATATTCCCAACAAAAAAAAACCCGTACCAAATTTTGCCAAAGCCGACTAAATGCGTGGGGCCAATATTCTCTATTGTCGAATTACCCCGCCATCTTAATGAGCAAAACTATAGGTTAATTATAGTTTACCTGGATCATTTTAAATATAACGTATGCTGGTTCCGCTGGAGCTCCAATAATAAATATCCATGATCCCACTTTATCCTCATGCCGGGTCTACAATAGAAAAATAAAACCAATACCAGACGAGTCCATCGACTCATTCGCTAAAAAGGGTATAAAGATAGGTTGCCAGGTAACGATACATACGCCAACAGCAGCTAATTCGTCCGTACGATACATAGGGGTTATCGCAAATTTATATGTTTTGTAGGTAATGTGAGCATTTACAATACACTAAAATGATCAAGAGTAACAACCCATTAAGTAATTATCATAAATAATTAAAATTTGACTGACTTCTAGTTCTTCAAGATGTACCAGTAACAGTGATAAATTTAACTTTTCGAGTTATCGGCAATGGTAGGTTTCTAATTTCAAAGGCCATACCCCTTGCAGTAATTATGGGAAATCCCTGAAAATCCATAGGCTTCTTCGCCTCGTGACCATACCCACGAGATTGTTACTGAATCCCACTTGAACAGTCGTAAGTGGTTCTAACCACATTCATGATGAACTATAGATTACGACTGTGCTGTCTTAAAACACCACTATTTAAAATTATGTGTCATAGAGGACATTCCTACATAAACATCGCAATGTAAAGGGTCGTTTAAAATGAGCGCAAATACGATTGCAAATTGACCTTAACAGCTCTGCGCGACTTTCTTAAGCTGCGTTCACACCGAATGCGCATTCAATGCGAATTCCGGAGACCGGTCTCCTGAATTCGGATTGGTTTTTCCCGGTTTAAACGCGGTGCGCCACATTACAGTTTATTCGAATTGAATTCAGAATGAAAAGCGCCACACTGAATGCGCAGTGAAGATCAATCATATCCAAGATGGATGCGCCAGAATTCGTATTGGTGATCTTATGTTGCTTATGTTTAATTTCCTGAGGCAAGCAAGGCTACATCAGCGACGCCGGGTCTTACATCTTCGACACCTTGCCATGCAGCGCTGTGCACGAAATCAAATGCGAATGGGGATGATAACTCTTTTGGTAGCGTTTGCTATACGTCAACACGTATGTACATGTACTTCATTTTTACTCTGTACTAGCGAAGATACATTCCATAATTGAAATGTTATGAAGTAGGTTAAATTTCCTACTGTTCTGGTCCGACTGGGCTTATAAAGACGGGCATAGACCATTTCCTAGAACAGTGGCGCTACAGCCTACGCTTTTATCGAATTCCAACTATCAAGGGATTATTTACGTCCACGTCAATGTGTACACGGGAACTCTGTCTTCCGTCCCATCCGGACGACTAGACAGCTGTCCTTCTCAGGCGCTCCGCCCTGCAGTACTGACATGGGGAAACCACGCCGGAAAATCACGATGAACGTTTTCGGTCAACAACGGGAGCGAACCCTTGACCACCAGACTAGGGAGCCAGCTTCTTACTCACTGAACCATCGAGGCTACTATTTCATAATTCAAATCCTTTCAGAAACAATCATACATAATGTAAATCAATACATTTTGTTGTCATTTTCATCCAGCTATATACAATACATACTAGAGGCTAGACTCCACTAGATTCGAAACGACTAAAGCTTAACTGCCCAGCCCCCAAGTTCTAGACCGTGAATGGTCAGCTGTGGTCTGAACACACCTATCTTTTGTATTTGGAATTGTATATGGCCACATTGAAATGTGGTCGTATATTGTCGTCGCCCCGTCCGACGCTAGAGGCTAATGTTAATATCTGATTGACTTTAAATTTATGCACAGTGTTTAAGGTCATGGATGAACAAGCAAAGTGAGTTTGAACGATTTACGATAATTACTACCAAAGTTATGGCCCATGATATTTATGCAGTGTTTAAGGTCATGTATGAAGCAGTCAATTGATTTTGAACGATTTACGATAATTACTGCCAGAGTTATGGCCCATGATATTAAATGTTAGTATAGCTAGAACTCGTAATCATAATTTAGTGTGTTGTAAATGTTTGCATTACTGACAAAATGAAAATTATGCCACAACCCTTGTTGACTGCTCGGAGGCCTTAGCTGCTGAGGGCATATGTTTCGTTGCCTGACAACCTATCGTTAGCTGGTTATGTTACGGAAACATTTGTTTCAGTGACGAAGGGCTACAGCTATGTAGGCTACACCCCAACATGCGCGCAAAGTTATTGTTTCCGGTAAAACTGTTGATCTGAATCAAGCGTGTCACACTCAAATCTTGACTGTGAATAACCCGATTCGGAATAATTGTTCCGGGTTGAATTCGGATTCGTTAATTCAGATTCAGTTCGGTTTTTATCGAATTGAGTGTGACTCCAAAGTCAGGAATAAGACTTTATTCTGAATTCAATTCCGATTAAACCCCCCTAGAGTGAACGCAGCTTCAGGGTTCCATTGAGAAATGAGAATCGAATTGGAAAAATAACATAGTTTCTTTTGGGCCCATGCCATGAATCACCATGGCCCTTAAAGGAATAAATCATGATTGTTTAAAACATTACTTGTTATACGATTAGATTGAATTGCTTGTCAAAATTAGCCATTGTTTTACTTCTCTATGATTTTATAGGTTGATTGTAGGATATACTTACACTAAAATATCCGACTCCAAACCATACTAAAGTTATTACTCCACCAACAGATAAAATAACAATATCTTCATTATCAATTTTGAATCCAGAATTCAGAATAAAGATCACCATACTTATCTGGAAATTATAACACATTTGTCAGTTCATTTTCAAACAAATATAATGAAGCTTTATATATTTCAATAATTGTAAATGGAGGTTATAGTGGATAAGTTCGCTGGCCAGGGCGTGGGCATCAAGTGATATAGAATTTGAGCAGTTACATTGCGCTCACCAACAAATTTTCAATTGGAGTTCACTGTTGATAGTTCACATATACACTAAAATTTATCATTTTGTATGTACTGTACTTCGCAGTATACTATACATGTATACTATGTATACTTATGTCCTATTGTCGTCGTAAGAAATGTGACCCAAGGAAACCCGTTGGTCCGAGAGTCCAGAGCTACCCTGTCTGCCCCTGGATGTCCTTACTTGTATCCTATACGCCAGTATACATGTAAACTTACCCCAAGTTGTAAATCAAGTTTTAAACAATCAAGAAACATAAAAAGCTTTTTACAAATGCTCTGGAGCTCTGTATTGGCACCAATAGTTCTGAAAATCAGATTGCCAGAACTGTTGTATCCCCAACCAATCCATCCGCTTAATCCGATTAGAACTGGGCTCATTACACATACAATAATCAAACGGGACTGAAAAACAAAAACAAATGGGTTATTGCTACTATTACTAGTGTGCTAGTAGTGTGGCACACTACAGTACAGAGTCAAACTGCTAGGCAGATTGTTCATTTAATCAGGTATATTAAGCAACGGATAGACGGAATCTTTATCCAAATTGTAGGCCTACTCTTAAAAGCGTTATTTTGCCGCTACGTGTCTAAACGAAATAAGCTGCAACGCCGCTGTCCAAGCAAAATTTCCTTCGTAGCATACGGCATGACGTCATCATTAATCCGGTTAGTGCAGAGAGGCAAGACGTTTAAAAAAAAACCAAGTCACTTCATTGTGTTGACGAGACGTTAATCCCCATTCCTAAATTTTCATTTTAGTGTACGATACTATAACCAAATACATACAGCGACTATGTTACTGCAGCTATGTTTTGTTTTGTTGTAACGTCGTGCAATAATTGCATACTGCTTATCTAGGCCTATTCCTAATTTGTCTGGGCTAATGCCAGCCTAGAAATGCTTCCACTACTGATGTCTTCCACCTTACTCCAGCCACAGTAGTGGCTCGTCCTACGGAGTTCCTTTGCGCAAGTTTTTTATTCAAATGACTACAAAAAGGTTACTGGCCTATGGCTCCCTTAATTTACACCTAAACTGACCCAAAACTGTACTGCACATAGCTTAACATATAGTAAACCCATTCCAATTGAAATAAAGGTGAAGCCTTACCGCATAATTAAATGATATGAAACCTAACTGCTACGCGAAATTTCTCTCCTACCGAACTTATTTCAACTGGTCGGTGTCATGGCGGCTTTCACATTATAAGAAACATAGCTTTGAAAATGTAGAACGCATAATTACCACAAAGAAAAACTGTTCGGTAACTATTTTAGTTCCCCAGTCTTCACTATTTTTGATAGAATTACTTGTTTCAATACAAACTGTAATGATATGTGTTGACAATTGTGCGTTTGAACCTATTTGAACTTGCGTAAGGAGTCTTAGACTGTATTAATTGTAGCGTTAAACACAGTAGCTAATTGTAGCTAAGGCCAGCCGAGTAAATTCTGTCAGGCCATTCGGATTGGGCATGATAGAACAAAAACAGTCCGTTCCATGTAAACATAAACAAGAACCCGCGATAGGTGGAATTTCAAAAAGAGCAGGTGGAAACACCGTTGTCTAAGCAAAATGCACCTCCCTCACCCGCCTCGCAACTTCCAAGTAAACACATTCAAAATAAATTTTTCGCGCCAAATAGCCCAAATGTAAGTTTAATATAATTCATTTAATTTCGAGTTATTCAAACCATTCTCATATACACAAATGAAAACAGGGAGTGGCCTTTAACGCGAATTTGATAAGAGTCTACTCACCAGTTTAACCGGTCCTCTGGTATCAACTTGTACAGAATAATTAACTATACTGTACAATAATATACCAAATATAGCTATCATAAATATAACTATTTCATACGCCCGTTCTTTTAATACACCATGCACCACATAGAACGTACAGAAAACTGTTAAGAAAAAAAAATAAAAAGTCGAATTTATTATCCATCTATTACTCTTTTTTTAAAATCTGAGGATTAGGGTGTGCTTTGAATGATAGACGTCAATGTCTTCTTGAATTGAGTTTTATTTATAAATTAAAGAATTCGATTTTCAGATTTGACAAGAAGTAGAAACAGAGAATGGATTCAAACCGAATTCCGGATTCACTCGAATATTTTCCATCAAACACATCTTAAGTCATCCATACTGTGCAACTACCCGATGTTAAATCCTTGGTATCCTAATTATACTGTTTCTTTGTTCATAAAAAAAATAAATAATGATAATCTTTGTAAATAATGTTTTACTTACTTGCATTTACTATGAGTATGAGGGCGAAGGTAAAGTCAGAATCGAACGTGCTTATGGTGGCCATCTTGTAAATGGAGAGGACGATGGTTGCCAATATGGACAGACATGACAGGACAACATATAATAACTCACTTATTTCTAAATCTTTTAATCTTCTGGACTAAAAATAGACAACACAACGGTAAGATATAATAACCTTTCTGTGGCGCCCTTTTCTTTATTAATGCAGGTCCTTTATAAAATATGTGGATAGCCATATTAGGCTACATCAATCTTTGTTATTTGCATCTTCAAAGTGTCCGTGCTCCTGTAAAGTCATGTCCGTCATCATTAGCCCAGTTCGGAGCAGAACAGTAGGACGTTAAACCCAATTTCATTTCATTTCATTTAAAGTCAAGTGACTTGATTTGAACAGAGATGGACAGGTATCAACTAATCAACACCTCTATAAGATCTGGTTGGAAACCACCAAGTTATTGAATTTGCTCAATCTAGGTACCCTTTCTCATCCGTAAGGTTTTATGTTATTGCTTTAAACAAATCTGCATAAAGACCACACCTACCTAAATTTGCCCAATCAAGAGAGAAAGAGAGGGAGGGGGGGTAACGACCACACCTACCTAAATTTGCCTAATCAAGAGAGAGAGAGAGGGGGGGGTAACGTCTACTCGACAACACAAACTATGCCATTTCTGGACTAACACACGGTTCGGTTTTTATTTCAATAATTCGCTTCGTGTAGGGTACAACGGGTGGACGGGTTGACGACAGAACCATACAGGCTAGAATAATAATAACGCGAATATAATTGATAAAAGTTTTTCATGTGTAAAGTAAGAAAAATAGTGCAGAGTAACCTTAAACGCTAACCCATTCACGGGCTATAGTTTCATACAAAATACTGGTTTTAGATAGTGTAGATTATTATCTTGGGGAACATCACAGCACTATACTTATTTCACTTATAAATCATTAGCAAGGTGTAACATGCTCACTAATACAACTATTACGAAAGTTTAAGATAAGATAAAAACTGTATGGAGATTTGTTTTAGGTTTTAATCAATATCCATAAGTGCAGCATATAATCGACACCACCACAGTGTCATGTTTTTTTTTCTGTCCCATCCGGACAGCTATACACAATTTGCTTTCTCTGATGTTTGTCGTAATACCCCCGCATGACGTGTTGAAAATGGATGAAGCAGTGGTCAGGAAATCAAAGAAATTAAAAGAATCCAGATGTTCAAATAGCATTGCTAAGTTTTAAAATAATTTCTTGCAAAAGACAAAACCCCTTAAAAATTGAAAAGGTGGGGTGTATGAAATTATTCTGGAGGGGCGAATATCTAACATCTAAATATCACTGTAATGCTGAAATGTTCCTTACTACCCTTTAAACAAACATAATTGTTCAGTGTCCTTTGGGGAGTGGGGTGGGGAGCGCGAGCTAAGAACCATATCGTCGATTTAACAAAATAAAGCCATGACCCCTTTAAAGTGATCCCGGTACTAAATGGAACGCTCGTACATAATATATTGATTTTGTTCTTTAACTTCTAATAATGGCTAGCTTATAAGCATCCGTACATTAATTATATCATAATAACGTGGTTTGATCTACTCATTTTGAATTGATCTTTGTAAAACCAGAAACTATTATCATATTTAAATGTATATTTTATTATTATCCGTCAAATTTTCACATGGTTGTATACGCTTACTGCATATTTGGGCAGAAATTGTTATCCATACATCGAAATCTAGATCATATCACATGTATAATAACCGCATGACTCCGGTCACATGTTAAAGTATATATAAACATTTCCTTAGTTTCGTATTATACTCCATGATAATGTTACATTAATATTGACTAACAAATTTGTTTTTAGATAAACTCACCTTCCCAATAACACCTTCACTTATTGATGGACCTGTGGGTATCCCTAAATCCGCAAACGATAACGGTTGATCGTGCGTTTCATGAATAATAACCTGCGTATCCGACATATTGACGGCCGCGAGCACCCACCCATTCACAGTAAAGTTTTGTTCAATCTATAAGTAGGTCACGTCGATCTAATTGAGCTTTTCACGTAGCTACGTTTATCTCACATTATCTTAAGTGTTTCGCCACTTGCTTTGTCTTGATACTCTCACTGTACACGGGTATAAGAAGGATATACTATCCGTTAGAAGTACTCTGGCAAAGTTCAATTTAAATCCGTGTTATATCGTAACAAGAAAATTATTTACGGAAACCCGTTGTTATATATATATATATATATATATATATATATATATATATATATATATATGTATCAGCTAATATGCTAAAACAGGATCCTGTCAAAGTAAAAGTAGAATAAGCTAGCGATGATTGGCCTATAAACAATTACAGCAATTTAAAGATTTAACTAGATGGCTTCCGAGAACAACTATGTCATTTCCAAGTGTTGTTAGTAATTTAACTAACAGCTAAAAAATGTGGAGCTACACAAACCAGTTAATTAAGCTAATCCGTGCGTCTTGTTTAAAAAGGGGATAATCTTGGATCAACATATGTTTAGCTTCAAAAAACTAAACAACCAAAGGGTATTGATATTCACGTATTATGATTGGGGAGGTGCGTTATATCGAGTACCGTTGCACAGTTTTCTTAACAAATCTTTAACGCGTGCATAAAGGGTAGTCCTTGACCCCTATCGAATGTTTGTACTTGGGAGGCTAATTCTTCCATTGTTCAATACAAAATTTATAGAAGCATTTCTTGTCCTGATTAATCCCCTCCATAACGAGTCGTTATTTTTTTATTATTTTTTTTTTTAATGAAAGGTGTTAAAATATACATGAAATATTATATGTTACCTGTCCTATGAATTTGTTATGCATCAGTGGCATGGATGGTGAAATTCCATAGTCTTGAAATGTTATTCCTGTAGATTTTGGTCGCGGTTTTACCTCCATCTTAACAATTTTTTCCTCATGCCCACAAAACCTCGTTTCCAACTAAAAACAAATTTAAATATTTAGTTTTTTTTTCGAAAATTGTCGTCCTCAAGAACAACATCAATAGCAACAACAGAATGAATAGCGCGTAGGGGCCAGTTTCTGGTCCAGTAAACGAGAAGTTGCGGTTATAATTGAATCTATTACCATTCCTTGCTAATAACCCACCGTCAAACGTTAAAAGAATTATTTTTGCTACTGGCATGGGGAACATAGTCTTGAAAATCCACGGATAGTCTGTTTATAGAGCTGGCGCCATACTCACCGAATTCAAGAAAAGGGGTATGGCCTGGATTTGACTGGCTTTAATGTTGATTTGAGTGGATTATAAGCTTTAAGTGTTGATTTGACTAAATTTCAAGTTTTAACAGTACTGTTGATTTGGCTTTTGAGATTTATACTTGTTAAAACGTTATTTCTGATCTAATTAAAGGAAAGCCATCGTTAATCGTCCTCTAAGTTGGTAATTAAAGAATAGTGGCTCTGCATTGTATAAACTAGATAATAAACACATCATAAAGAATCTGCAACGGTTTAATTATTAACGCCTTTAAACAAAAACAGAAAAAAAATCCAAATTTTAACAGTTTCGTCACACTCATACCAGCCATACTCTGCTGAGTTGCAATTCTGACGAGTGTTGATGTTTTATTTCAACTGAAAATAGTTTACCAAGCAAAAAAAAATACGCCTAACAGGACTCTTCATCTCACGTTTTAACCACAGGGTATTGGGATTTATGAATTTATCGGTTTTAAAATATTGATATTTTGAGACGTGAACTGTAAATGATTATCACCATCCAACTTTTGTGAGTAACAAAGAGATATACCCTTTAAACACTGTTCATAAGTCAGCGGCAATAACTCCGCATTTCCACCATTTCAGTTCTAGAGGTTCCTTACATGCCAAGATGATATACATTCCATTTAGTAATATAAAAATCTTGGGTATAGGTGTAAGTGTGTCGTGCTGCTTCGTGCATGACACACCTCCGTTCAGATGGTATAATACTAATACTATAACATAACTATATGATTTGCATTGAAGGGAGGACTGAGAAAGAACCTGTGAGTATCGTAGGGTGGGGCCCCATAAAGAAGTTAATTTTCTCGAACACAAACAAATACCCCCTCCCCCACCCACGCTCCACCCCAAACCCAACCCGACCCCCCCCCCCCCCCTAGAATTGCATAAACTTACTTTATCATCGTCATTGTCTTCCATTTTAGAATTCTAATATCCGTTTTCCTAAACCATTGTTATATTACAAACGTTTACGATATATACACTGAACGTATGGCGAATCAATGATTATGAAGGAATTGTTACAGGTTGTATGTTATGTTGATTTATACCGGTCCTAGTTTGTATACATGAACTGATAAAAACCTATTAGAAACAAATGTAACAGATGGTCTTGTTTCAAATACAATGGGTATGTAAATGCGGTATTATAATTTTATGATTAATTTGTGTGCTAACGTTCAAGGCATATACATGGTTTAAGATCATTCTTCTTTCCCTAACTAGCAATTACAGCTGAAAAATGACCAGAACAGCGCTTGTCTATATAGAGAATTCCGGTCAGAAATCATAGAAATAGTGGTTAAATGAAATGAGATGTTTTCACAAAACATTTATTCTCAATAAAAAGATACGAGAACAACGTTTTCCAAAGCTTCTGGAATTGTAGAGGAAATCCGGGCCAATACACAACTTAAAAGATAAATTTGGCACATTCTGTCAATGAGTAGATGTACATGTAATTTTTGATGCCATTGACCTAGCAAAATTCTTCCGCTTTAGTTCATCGTATACATTCCAGATTGTAGACCACCCATGCAACTAGATCCTAGGTCCGTTTGGTAAAACGACAGTAAATGACTACATGTAGTTCGTTTATATCAAATATACGTCGATAAAAAAATGAGAGTCTCTTTCGGTGATTTTTACTTATGTGAATTTATATAAAACAACTCACCTGAACAAATCTCGTATTAAATGATTTTGTTATGTGTGGGAAAACATCAAGTGTTATAACTGATATAAACGACAGATAAGAAACAGGAATTCAGTAGATTTTTATTTATTGACTGGCCGTTAGTCTTTTTGAAGCTTAATTATTTTAAATTACAATTTACATTAATAATGAAAACTATAACTTTTAGAACATACAGGTCACATGGAATACAATTACAGCTTATTACTGATTGACGTTTCGACTAGCCTTCTCTAGTCATTATCAAGCATTCCAGTTCAATTATTAAATGCCATTATTGAAACAATGTTTAGAACGTTATCTTTTACACGCACAGTGCATCCATTCATGCATATTATAAAATATAACTTATCAGCTAGATATTTTCCAGATTAGCGAGCGCGTTATTCTCTGTGTATGTGAAATTTAATGTCGTCAAAAAATCGTGTCTAGCCGCGTTAAGCTCTCCCGGGTCATTCTCCGAAAATTGCTTCTAGCTCTGTAAAACAACGAATAACGCTTTATTTCCATAGAAAGCCTTATTACACAGTTTAAAATATATTTTATGGTTACTTACAGTGTCGAAGTTATTTCATCTCTATCAATGCATATATATCGTTTACAAATCGGTCGTCCAGACTTATTCATTTTGATTAAATACTAGGCACTGCGCAGTTTTGATATCAGTGTTTCATGCTAAAGCCTTTAGGACACGCGCGCCTATGTCGTGTCAGCGAAACAGATTGTCAATAACTTGTAACATGTACTATTTATAAAGTCAATTACTATATGAAAAAATAACTGTTTTTTTTTTTGTTGTTGTTGTTGTTGTTGTTGTTTTTTTATTACAGTTGCAGCATTACAAAAGCATAAAATATATGTTATAATGGTTGTTTTAAATAGAAGAGGGGAGATCATTGATCTACAAATGAAATAATATTAAAATAGGACGTTGCAAAACGGTATAATCTGGAGTATAGACCAGGAGCCCAGGGGGTCAACCTAGCTGAAAAGTGTACCAATTTTCTCCTATATGGTATCAATGCATGTATATCTGGTATCATCAGAATGTAAGTCTGCCGGGTTTCCCACCGGACAAACTGTCTGGCAGTGGTCATTCATGATTCCTGTAGTGGTACTGAACAACTCCAAAGCTTTTTTAGGTGGTACAGATTTCAGCTAATCTAGCCTAGCTGTGGTCTGGAAATTAGATAACTCTTGTCAGGGATACTCCACCACAACAAATGTCTGGCAATTACATAGCTCTAGCAAGGGCACCCCACCACTAGAAATGTCTGTCAGGGTGTTTTTGTAATACACGTAGATGTATGGTACACTGCTGTGTGATTTTCATGTGGTACACTTTTTAGCTAATCTAGCCTAGTTGGGGGGCATGGGATGTTAGACTTGGAATACCACACCCACCACCAGAAACCCGACAGACTTACATTCTGATGATACAAGATATACATGCATTGATACCATATAGGAGAAAATTGGTACACTTTTCAGCTAGGATGACCCCCTGTGCTATAAGACATCTTTGAAATAACCACAGTAAGATCACAAATACTTTCAGATTTGTTAGGCTCTTTACAGACCATTGTTAAGTCATAACTAATATCCGTCTTGATTATCCCTGTTACTGTTAGTGCAGAAAAGTAGATGGTTAAATCCCATTTCTTTCCATATTATTTACCACAATCTTAGCATTGCGTGTGGATTTATAAGACCCGCAATTCCTTAATCGGCACTGCTAAGAACAGTGTTCAGTCGAAGTAATATTCAGTCGCTTATGTTATTCAGTCATTTATGTTATTCAGTCAGTCAGCGTAGTAAAGAAGAGCGTCAAACCCCATTTCATTTCATTATCCCGCCTTACGCACAGCGATCTGTAGACAGAGAAAATATGGTTCCCAAAAAACTTGTGTACAGAAAGACAAATCAACCCTGGAAGGTCATCCATAAAAAGATGGCTTTATTTTCACAACTGCCAATTCTGATTATCAAACGATAGGTTGCCAGTCAATGGAACATACTACACAGCAGCCAAGTGGGCTACGAAAAAGGTAACACCATCATTTTCTGCAAACTGATAAGGACAATATGGCTTATATTTATATCATGAGACAAATATTAGAAAAAAAAGTTATATTTCAAAAGGAACCGATGACTACACATTGATAACATGGCCATTTCCTTAAAAAATGTGAGAACTTACTGTTTAAAACACAAACATCTGTACAACACATATGTATGAATTTCCACT